GTTGTTCTTGCAAGGCAAGAGATAAATGAGGCATATTCCCAATTCTTAAATTCTTATCTCTAATCACTGTCGTATTATGTCTTGTTTTATGTCTTGTATGTTTTGTCTGCCCACTAATAACTTTGTCTACGCCCTAGCACAGTGGCGGAATTATCTAAAATATACTGTGAATTTTTCTCTGATTTGATTCCTATATAATGTAAAGCTGAAAGATTTTCACGAGACCTTCCAAAGATCCCAAGAGGTCTAGTACTATTTCTAAATTGAAGACAAGTTTAGTCAATAAATATAAATAAACTGAAGCTTAAAATGGCTGCTATTACATTGTATTGACAAACACCTTGTTAATCACCTTCTACTAGAGTATCATAAGTTGAAATCTTGAGAGTCTATTGACTTAAACAATATACATTAACCATGTAAAACTAACTAAACTAACATTAAAACCACTCACAGTCGATCTCGAAAGAACAATTAACATATCGTATAAATTCTCCTTTAGAGCACTCTATCCTTACCTAGTACGTAAGTTAAAAATAATCCAATCACTGATATTGCATTAACACTATATATATATATATATATATATATTGAGCTTGCGAATGTGAATAAGGTTAAGCAATGAAAGTAGGTTATAAGATCATTTTCATTAAAACAATAATCGTTGACGATAAACCTAATATCGATATGGGCATGATCGACGTCAATCTAGTTTTAACCCGATTGGAGCTAGCTAAATATTCGAAGAATCTAGTTTGGAGCTTGATACAAAGCAAATTCGTTTACTTAGGTTGCCCTATCTTAAATGAACATATCTTCATGAACGTTTTAGTGGTCGTGTTCAATGGGCAACATTCAATTTACCTGCACTTGCCTTAAATTGCAACATCACACAATTTAATGGCTATGACGCCTGCACCGATTGTAAGGTACATGCGATTGCTATTGGTAAACAAATTTATTATCAATATTCTGCTCAGTCATCTTCACCGAAACCAGATAATGATTATGTAATGTCAAGACGAACAACTAATTCACCGAAATCAGTTTTACATGGGGTTACAGAACCAACAACCTTAATCGAAATACTATTATTTCCTGCACAAATCCCAAACGATTACATGCATTTAGTCCATGTGGGACATTTTAAAACATTAGTTAATTATTGGAATAATTTTTTCTTTATACAAGATGTATTTGATCAACTTTTGCCATTGAATCAATTTTATCAATGGAAGCTGTCTTTTTATTCTGTGCTAAATATTTTGTTTTTCATCGTTTTACCGTTAAATGTGAGATGATATGTAGTTTTATTCTTCAGAAAACAGGTGGAATACAAAATATTCCATTATAGTATTCTAAATCAATACTATCACAAACAAAAAATCAGCTTTTGTACTGATTTAAATTCGAACACATGAAAATCTAAGAATAAATGTAAGATGGACTGGCCAACACGAACTCATAGGAGATCTGAAGATAAAGCACAGAAACTAGCTGTTGTAAACGACAAAAACAAAGAAATCATTAGGCTTGATCGATCACTTATATATTAAGTTATGCATTCACTTAAAAGTATCATATAACCTCATAAGTCAGCGATGTCTGGAACCAGAGGCGTAGTTCCACCCCCCTGGTTTTAGAAAAGTTTGTTTTTACTATCGTCGCATAAAATTTTTGATACGTCTTATAGCATGGAGAAGCTGAGTTTTCATTTAGTACTGCACTCGTGATTTAAAGAACTTTACTAGAACAATTTAGACTGCCTCTGAATTGATTACTATTCAGAAACCACTTTCACCGGTCCAAGCCACATTGAATTTAAAAGATAAAACAGAAAAATTCATGCGATCTAATGTGGCTACATTATTTTTTGTGCTGATTGTGACGCTACATATATTGGATAGGCATGTCGCCGACTCGGAGAACATATCTGTCCTGGTGATCATTATATGTTGTCTCATATGAATTCATTATATTCCAGTTATAATATTTTTAACAGCATTCGAACTTCTTCTATCCCTTGTATAGCAACCAATACTCCTCAATGGTCAACGACGTCGAATGAAAGATCTCAGAGACAGGCTAAAACTGTAGAGACTGTCCTTATAACAGATGGATGTTCTCGGACAAAGAAGTTTGACCTCGGTGGTAGAGTACAAAATAAAAAAGCATGAGAAAAAGCCGAACAGTAATTTTCTTCTAGTCACATATGTTCATTTAGAACGTTCTTTCTTGTATTTTCTCTTTTGTTCGGTCTTAGTATATATATATACGGTTAACTACTAGTAGTATAACTACAAATTGTTTTGTTGAAATAAAAATTGTACAATAATGGCTACTGTTAAAAGCCTAAAACTTGTTTTACTGCAATTGCTGGCTCTCTCACACTTCAGTTATGTTCTAGATAAGTTTACTACATGTCGTTCAAACGTCCAAGCGGCAGTATACGTGACTTTTTTATGAAAAAGCAAAAGAATGATACTAGTGCAACAGTAAAGCCAACTAATACGAATAGTTTGCCAAGTGGTTTAAACAATCTGCCAACAGAGTGGTATGAACCCACTAATCAGCCCTCTTCATCAGTTCCAGATCTTCCTGACATTTCGAGTGAAAACGATTCGAGTGATCTGATTATCGCAACAGCCAACCCTTCCATTGTACTTCAAAATATCGAAAATTTAGTAACAGACGAGAATGAAACAGGACAAATGAAACCGTTACTTGCAAGTCACCAGCAGCAGCAAAAAGTACTTCTTTTCTGTTATTACTTTTGTGATTGCAAAAATATCCATTTTCATTTTCGCAGATGCCAAAATCGGAAAATCAAATTCTGTAATTAAAATCGGAGCACATCTGATTGAAGTCAAAAGAATTGTCGATGAATCTGAAAGTCTGATAAAACGTTCAACAGCCGTTGATGTTGTAGAAGAAAATTTCATTTACGATGCACTAGAATATTCAAAAAAAATTGATCGATTTAGCAACCCATTTGAAAATTATATGTGAATGTAAAATTAACGATCTGAAAGAGAATAGAGGTAACTAAACAGATGATCAGAATAGAGTAAGAGTAACGATCTGAAATGAGATAAGCGTCACATTTTGAAGGACTAAGGACGTTTCAATGTTTCATTCAGGCGTTGTAGGTGGTAGTACAACAGAACAACGAACGATCATCCGTGATCCTTGTGTTAGTAACTGTGGCGATGCATTTTCGGATGATGAGTTGAGATTTTTGACTATAGCTGGCCCCTTTCAACCTGTGTTATCACATTATCCTGTGAACCAAGATTTGAAGAGTAAAGGGCAGACGTGTAAATTCGCTGCAAAATGGTTTGAAGAATTTCCTTATTTGGAATATAGTATTATCAAGAATGCAGCTTTTTGCTTTGCTTGTCGTCTGTTTGGTTCGGGACCGGGAGCAGAACAATCGGAAAAAGCATGGGTGATTGATGGGGTATCCAACTGGGGTAAGATGAAAGGTCGTGGTAAAGACAAATTAGGCAAGTTGGCTCAACATTTTCAATCAATATCGCACACCGCAGCTTTAAATCGTTTATCGAACTTCAATAGAAAAACCACTAATGTTGATTTAATGGTTGATACTAACAGAAAAAAAGCTGATCAACAACGTGCAGCTCTGATGAAATATAACCAAACGGTTGTGTCCAAATTGCTCGATATTTCGCGATTTCTTTGTCGTCAAGGCTTGGCTTTTCGGGGCAGGTCTGGTGCTGACGATCAAGGTACTTTGTTCGGTCTCTTGCTTTAGCATTTTCTATTTTCCCAATGCTATGTGAGTTTCTAGGAAATTTTATTCAATTAGTAAATGTACTTCGTCGTCATGAGTCGAGTTTTGATCACTGGTTCAAAGAAAGAAATCTTCGTGCACATCAAGTATGGATCAGTGGAGAAACTGAAAGCTCTTAGAATCCAAGTATAAACTGCTTGTTTTTTTATTTGACCATTCTAGGTTACATATCTTAGTCCACAGTCACAAAACGAATTCGTTGAGCTTTTGGGGAAAGCGGTCCACAAAGAAAGTATGTGTAATATTACAGAATAACAATAACCAGACAGTATGTACGTTTATTTCCAATAAACGGTGCATACCATCTGGTTATTGTTATTCTGTAATCCGCTTCAATACTAAACATACGAAATAAATTATTTCGTATGTTTAGTATTGAACGGATTAGCCCGTCGAATTACATCTCCGTAACGACTGATTCGACCCCAGATGTTTCTAAACGGGAGATGTATTCTATCATTGTACGTTTTGTCAGGAATTTTGAAATTGAAGAACGTCTGGTCGAATTCGATGAACTAGCATCGAAGGTTGAAGCAGATATTGTTAGCTTTATGCTAAACTCGTTTAGAAAATTCAAAATTGATACATCCAAAATAATTGGACATAGTTATGAAGGTGCAAATAATATGACGGGTGTAAACATTGGTGCTAAAACTTTGTTGAACCAAGAACTGAGTTCAAAATTAATATTCATTCCATGTGGTGGTCATAAATCAAATATCGGTATGTTCGTTTATACATGGATCGATAGATAGTACTATCTCACCTCAGTGAGATAGTAAATACCCTAAAAGGATTCGGGCCGAAGACTCCTGAAGATCCGGTTTTCTGGAAAACCAGTTTTTAGGAACTCTAAAAAATAATCAAAACCTTTTTTTAATTAGGCATAATTGTAGCCTGCAAATTTCTGATTAAAATGAGACATCTCCCAGCTGTACCCGACCTTTCTTTGCAAAGTTATAGAATTTACACGAAGTGCCCTAAATTAATTTCTTCTTATTTCTGTAGCTTTTAGCTGACAATGAACATTTAGGGCTTTTCTTGTAAATTCTATAACTTTGCAAAGAAAGGTCATGTAGAGTTGGA